CAGAAAGCAAGCCCTTGTGTACCTCATAACCCCCACGGCAGGCAGACCAGGGCCACTTAATGTCATTTCAATAGCGTTACATAGCGGCCAAAACCAGACAACGGCTTGCCACTTCTCTTTCGATGTCACTCGGCTGCATTATCACTGACGCTTTTCTACGACTCAGGTGACCATTAAATGTTCTTCTTATTCCATCCAGAGAACGTTTCACTCTTTCGCAACTCCTTCATCATCGACCCTCACCGCACTGCCCACCTAGTCCCCTCTCAATATGGAGGTCACCGACACCATGGAAACATTTGATAGGCCAGGAGCTATCGACTGGCATGGATTGGCACTTCCCTAGTGCTAACTGCTTCCGTGTGTGTGTGTGTGTGTGTGTGTGTGTGTGTGTGTGTGTGCGCGCGCACACATGTGCGCGCACGCAGACGGCTAATTGCGGGTGTGTGTGTGTGTGTGTGTGTGCGCGCACGCAGACGGCTAATTGCCGAGGCCAAACACACACAGGCCACTATGGGACACTGAGTCGTTTATTTATAAGTCTGCTGTGTGTGTCTGGATTTCATTTGCTTTGATATAGCCTCCATGTAGAACATTGGAAGCGGTTTTTGCTAGCAAGGAGACAACAAGGCGCAGCTAACCTCACACCAATTTCGAGGAAAGTTGCGTTGGGGGAGGGGGGTACTGCGAGTGCATATTCTGATGAATGGCCTTCTCTCTTATGGCCCAGGTCAGTCTACTGTACATAACAAGTGATCCGGATCAAAGCAGTCTTTTTGTTTGGGGTACCCAACAGTCATGCTAAAGACACACAAAAAAGTCTCATTAATCAACTGGCCGATTTAATCATTGGCATGAAGACAGACACAAATAATGCTTTTTTTTCCTACTCTTCGCAACTCAATAATATGCCGTGATAGTAGTCATTTGTAGAGGATGAAGAATATATGCCCAAAAGTATACTAGATACAAAGTATATGACTTCTAAAACCCCAACTGTCGATGCTAGCTGTTAGCATGTTGATGGCATTTTGCGTTGCTTGCTAGCTTTTAGCTAAGATAACTTTCCTAAGGCATGACTATGTTTTTTTTAAAGACCCGAGTGCAAGCTTTCAACATCCACCCAGCGAGTGGGACTTTTTCCAGGCGTCCCATGAATGACTTCATTCTCGCTCGCTTGCTGGGCGTCTCGCTTCAGCTCTCCCTAACCGGCTGCCGCAAGACTCTCCACGACAGACGGGGTATAACTCTTTCCATTTTCTTGCTTTTCCAGTGAGCTGAGTGATATGGAAATGTGAAGATCCTCGCTATGAACGCAATGCGGATGAAATCGAAGAAGTTGTTCGTGCAGACCGCTCATCTTGGACACAAGTGATCTAAAAAACCACCAAGCTCATTTTCACCCACCAAGCAAACAAGAAGTAAATCGGGAGTTTCTGTTGATTTCTGAAAACGTGTCTTTCAGGAATTCTTTCAGGCTCAGCCTAATTTTTGCTGAAGATTATTGAATGTTAAATCCTCATCAGTCCTGCTTTTTAGGCCTCCAAAAAGCAATGGCTATATGTCCCTTTTATAATGTACATCTTTGCGTGTGGTTGTTAATGGATATTGTGAGATAATGAATTAAACCCCAACTCGGGTGTAGTGACCATGACCCGTCCGCTGTTTATCCTAACGGCCGTTTTACGACGCCACGGAGGAAGCGAAGTGCGACGAAACAGGCAACCTTCCTTTAAAAGGAAGAGAAGGTGGCCTTTGGGCTGCACACAAGCCTGCACTTGTTCAGCCAGTGGGCGGTGCCACCAATTCCCCCTTCCTCCACCTTTACGCTCTGACAGGAAGTTGGTACAGTCTCCATCAACTGCAGCTGCATCACAGGCAAGCAAAAACCACCAAAATGCTCAATGATTAACTGACTATCTGTGCTTATTGAAGCAAATTATGCGTTCACTGCTGTTTCCTGAGAGGACACACACACACACACACACACACACACACACACACACACACACACACGCAAAAAAAGAAGTAATCAATACTATGCAGACACTCATTATTGATCTCGTCTGCATCTTTAACGAGGCTATGCAGGGCAGCCATTTTGTTTTTGGTTTGGTATGTAAATGATGAGCAAACGTTTGTTATACAGCATGAGAATTTGTTCAAAGTTCAAAGTTTTAGACTTTTCCTTTAAAAGTTCCTTTTAAGTTTTTTTTTGTTTTTGTTTTTTTTTAGAATTGCATGGTAAACAGGTTGTTAAAAAAAGTCAAAAATATTTTATTTTATAAAACGCATTAGATATATTTAATCATGTATTTATTATGTTAATGAATAAATCATGTGGATTTTTTTTCATGTTGGTGAATTCTTCCAATAATTAGGAAAACAAAAAATAAATGTCAATTTGTATGGATCTCCGCCAGTGTTACCATTTTCAAAGAATCCCTTTTACAACATTCCTAGAAAATCTCAATGTATCATCAATGTTAAGTTACTTTTTTAGAAAAGGCCCACGGGATACGCATTTGGTGGAGTAACTGGTGCCCGCAGACAGTGTGACTGACTTATCCTTTTCATGTTTTGGGGGCTTTTAAAATGAACTTGCCGGGCCACGTAAAATGCTCTCGCCAGTCTGCGTATGGCCCACTGGTTGCAGGTTTTCCACCCTTTGTCATATGCCGCTGTGGGGCAGGCCTACTGTTGGCCTGTCACAGGACATTAACAACACAAAGACTCGATCAACAAAAGCATTTCTCAAATTGTCACTCAATAATTCCACCAACTCTGTGAAATCGGATTATTTTTCTGACGCGTCAACGCAACACCTCGTTTGATCTGAACATCAACTCCACTAGAACACACAAACGCCGCCTCATACTAGTTCTCACGTCTGACAATCACAACATTTTGTGGCAAGTGCCTTGAAAAGCGTCATTAAAACGCACCGGTGTGTATTTATTTTTATATTTAAAACACAATAGGAGAACGTGTAGTCCGACGGCAGCCCCGGTCGGGGCAGCGTTACTGTGCTGGAGGATTTGTCAGCGTCCAAAAACATAACAAAACAAAAAAAAACTGAAAACACCTTCGCGGTCAACCTTTTTCGGCACTTTTTTAAAATGTTCCACAAGCAACTCACCGGTGGTCATGTTTAAAAGCGTTACTCACCCGCAAAGAGGGAGAAAACGTCCGTCCGAGCGCCTGAACCGTGTTTTGTGTCGGGAAAAAAGTTGTCGTTGTGTCATCAAATGAAGTGAAGTGAGCAAAGGTGGGGTGGGGGTTGAGGGGAGGAGGGGGAAAAACAGTACGCGGAAGTACACGAGAATTTAGTCACTCACTAAAATGTCAATACATTTTATTTAAATGTCAAGATTGTATTTATTTAGTACCCAATAATGACTGCAATGATTTTGACATAAAAGTTTTATTTTAAAAACAGTCGGTGGAAAGAGTCACTTTGCATTGTGTTACACATTAAATCGTCCCCCTTGTACTGTACAGTGTACACGTTAAAAGGATTGACTGCATTTATTTTTTTAATTTGACATTTTAAAACGCAAAATATCACGCTATTCACGACATACTCTATCCGGTGTTTTATTGCTTGCAAAATTGTAATTGTTTTAATCAAAGTGTCTCGTCGGGTTAACAAACTTCCCCCGTTAAATTAACTTGGCCGTGGGGCTAAATGTCCTACTCTAAAATGACATTCATATCTCTGTTTGACCGTTAAAAACAGTTATTTACCGTAATCACGCCCATTATGCCATCCTTTGGCACGGGAACGTCTACTAATGACGCTATGAGTAGATTTATTTTTAGACGTTGACCAAGCAAAGACTTCAAAACGAACCGCACTTTTCAAAGCTTTTGTCTTAAGGGCGTCTGGCGCCGCCTGGCGCATCAATAACGGCATGGTCGCAAAAAAACAGAACAAGATAGATAGCTAGATAGCAATAAAACCAAGAAAGTGCCAACTAACGTCCAATATCCCAAATAATTAAGTTTATTGCTTCTCAAGATATTCATCTTTTTTTACCCCCCCCCATATGACCTCTTTACAGTAAAACAAAACATTTGAGATGCATACACACACGCACACACATGAAACTGTATTTACAGCTGCTTATGTGTCACAGTTGGAACTTTACAGTAGAAGGTACATTGTGGCTCATAATGTTTTTTTCAATTATTATTTCAGGGAATGCAATTCAATTAAATTAAAATTAAAGCAAAAGAAAAAAGTCTGTGTTACACTAGATGGATGCTAATATAAAAATAAATCTACAAGCAAGGATTTGCGGGGTGGACATTAAAAAATAAATAAATAAATAGACCATAGGGCACAATTAAAAACTTGGACAGGATCCCGATAAGCTCATCATAGAAAAACATCTGCTTATGAATTATTGAAACTTTGGATACACATAAGCTTGTAACTTTATCCCCCCGAAATATTGAATTAAATATGGAATAAAATCACCACGATACAGCTAGCTCTCCCCATAGGTGCTCATCATTAAATATACAACATATTAAAATATATACACAAACATACGCGCACACACACGCATTTATACAAATTTAAAATCTGATCTTCTTTTCTTCCCTTTTTTCATCTCCGAGAATGTGCAAGAATATAAATAAAGTACTGTGTAACTTCCAATAAAACAATTTGAGGCAAAACAAAAGACATCATTAGAAATTAGGTTGAAATTATATTGAAATAAATTAAGATGCAAAATACAAGACAAAAAAATGTTTTCACATCACGTGTAAAGTGGTTCTCATGACAAATGAACAAAATAGACAAGATATTTTTTAACACCCCTTGTCATGTGGTTTAAGTGAATTGAAATGAAAATAAATTGACCAATTTGAATATATAAGACAAAATACATTTTTGATTCCACCGTAAATGTGATTTGAATCAAATGGAATTGAAATTAATGAAACAATACATAATTAAATAAATTACAAGGAAAATGTATTTTCACAGCATTGGAAATGTGGTTAAAAAAATTCTACCCAAATAAAGTCTGACAATTAAATACAGGAAAGCAATTTCACACTAGTGGCTTAAAGTCAATTTAAATAAATGTCGACACACTAGAAAGCAGGACAAAAACATTTTGTCAAGCATTAGAAACGTGGCACACATTAAATTGAAGACAAATTTAAGACGAAAGAACTACACGATTTCCCACAACTCTAGAAATGTAGCTTAAATTAAATTCAGAAACAAAATGTTTTCACACAACTTGAAATGAGGTAAAATGAGGAGCAACCATTTCAAGCACAGGACAATCAAAGAGACACACACCGAATACTCCACCAGGTGGCAGTATTGGCCCGTGACTTTGTGAACGTTGTTTCGAACGCAGGAAACACAAGTGGAGGCCATTCATGTAGATTTGAAGATTCAAATGGCCATGGGAAGTAAATGTTACGCTGTAAAAAGTTTTGACGAAACATCTGATGTTGAAGACTTGGACAAAAGGGGAAAAAAAGCAGAGCAGCTGAACAACAGGCAGAAGAAGAAGTATTAGCTGTGGATCATTTTGAGGGTCTCTCTCTCCCTGTGGCGCTCATGCATGATGGCGGGCAGCGGTGGCGGCGTGAGGGGCATCAGGCCCTTGAGAGGGTGGGCAGACATGGGCGGCGGCAGGGAGGAGATGGGCGGCAGGGGTAAGGCCACCGCTGCCCCCACCTCTGACTTCTTCCCCCCCACCGCAGCGTCCTTGGCCACGGTGAAATCCTGCTCATTGTCCGAGCTGCAGTCACTCAGGTCGGTAATCTCCAGGTCCGAGTCCGACTCGGCGTCCCTTTTGATGCTGCCCCGCCTCTCCGTGGGGCTCTGGCGTCCCGGGCCCAGGCTTGGGGGCGTGGCCTGGGCACGCTCCCCGCCCAGGAGAGGGTTGCCCAGCTCAGTGCGGCCCAGCGACAGGCCCCCCTGGTAGGGGGGCGGGCCCGCTCGGCCCCCCGCCGATATTGCCGCCACATTGGTGCCACCCCCACCAGTGGTTGCCTCTCCTGGGGGCAACAGGGTGGAGAAGGGGTGGGGCAGCTGTGAGAGGCCGCTAGGTAGGGGACCGGGGTAGAACTGGGAGGGGTAGAGGGAGCCGGGGGGAAGTTTGGGACAGTTGTTGAGGGAGAAGGCCCCCGGCAGGTAGGGGTTAAAGCCCCACGGGTAGTCGAAGGGTGGGCTGCGGGGGTACGCGCCCAGCAGGGATGGCGGTTTGGTGTAGCAGGGGCCACCTAGCGCACAGGACCACATGAAAGTTAAATGCGTCCACACATACAAAATGGAGGACAAAAAAAGTATTTGAAAAAACAATACTACATGGAAGAATGTTCCGTCATCATTCACAATTCCAAACAGGACGGGCTTGTTTTGGCAGCTCCACCTTAAATAAAACAGGACCACCTTAAATGCAACAGGGCCACCTTAAAGTAAATTTTGTCTTTTTTTTTTTTTCCCTTCAAATTACGAATTAATTCGCAGAACATGACAGCTTTTGCTTTTCCAGTGAGCTGAGTGATATGGAAATGTGAAGATCCTCGCTTTTTGTTTAATCAGTGTAAATTATATGCTGATTTTTACGACAGCCTGGTCCGTAATTACCCTGTATTTGAAAACATGGTACAAAAAGGTTTTTTTGGTGTGTGTTTTCGGGGTCTGGCACGGATTGATGGCATTTTCATTCGTTTCAGTGGGGAAAGATAATTTGGGATGTGAGTGTTTTGAGCAAGCATAGTTAGGAATGAATCAAACTCGTATGTCAATGTACCAGTGTATTGGTCATGCTTATGAGAGGAAAAAAAAAGTAAAATTGTGTATTTTGAAAAAAAAAATAAAGTCATGTAATTTAAAATCATACTTTCCTCTTTTATTGGTTTAATAGGAGAAAGATGCTGGTGTTTGGCTGAGTGGGAGCGCTGGGACCAACAAACAAAAGCATCTTCACCTCCCAGCGCAGCTGACTTCCTTCCAACTGCCGAGCAACTCGCTGCTGCATCCCCCCCCCTCACCCCCACCCCTCGGTTTCCCCTCAATCCGCCAGCCTGCCACGTTATTTACTATGCGGGCCTAATTTGACAGCGCTCAAGTGTGTGCGTGTGCGTGTGTAGCTGGCAGACACATGAATATTGAATCAGTCAGACGGGCCTCTCTCGCTTGCTTATGAAAACACAGTAATGGGCGCCCACAGGCCACAAACTGAAGCCTGCACCCTCAATTAGGGCCTTCCTGCTTGGGAAGGGATTAGGACACCGGGGACACATGGGAGGGAGAAGGAAATAACACCCCAGGACAAACTGTGGAGGATGAAGAAGAAGAAGAGGAGGAGGAGGAGGGGGAGGAAGGGGGTCGAGTTGGTGCGTGTTTACACGGTACCTCGCTCCCTCGCTTTCTGCATTGTGTGTGTGTGTGTGTGTGTGTGTGTGTGTGTGTGTGTGTGTGTGTGTGTGTGTGTGTGTGTGTGTGTGTGTCTATAGGCCATTAAGCAGCATCGGTCACGGACAGTGGAGTGACCTCACCTTCCTTCCCTCCTTCCACTTGTTTAGCAATGATATGCACAAATCATGAGCTAAGTGGATCGCACCTCACAGTCTTGACTGCAGGCTGCCATCGTTCTTATTTCCTTGAACAACAATTGAGCTACTGACAATGAAAGCGTACTGCGGCCATGCCAGAAAAAAATAAAATAAATCAACATAGCAAACGTTTTTCCCCCATAATGCTACAGGGTACCGACTTCCACCTTCGCAATCGTGCGCATTTCAGCGCATGCACAAGTCAAAACCAGGTAGCATTGTGGGGGGAAAAATGCTATGTTATTCGCATTTAGCCTATGATTTACCGTTACGTTGACCAGTACGTTCGAAAGACTTCACAAGACTTGTTTGAATGACAACATAGCCCAGTCAAAACTATTCACTCGACATTGGCAGTTCCACGCTTCCATAACAACGTGATGAATTTCACACTGGTGGATCCCGATGGAGAAAATGTGTCTTTTTTTTTTTTTAATTTTAAATATCCCCACATGCCACTCAAGTGTTCTCACCTGAACCGAGGAATGGAAACGTGTCCAGTCGCAGCTTGTCTCCGTCCACCCCCGGCGCCGCACTGCCCCGATCAAACAGAGAGGACGCTCGGCCCGCGTCTGGCAAGCGAGGAAACAGGGACTGGATGGCCTACATGGCGAGGAACATACACAATGGAATGAGAACTTCGGCTACGAGTAAAGAAAAAAAAGCTGAAACGTCGCAAAATCCAGATCACTGAAAACTTAGGAGGAAGACACATTTCAGAGACAAATTCCTTGAGTGTTTTACATACTTGGCCAATAAAGATGATTCTGAATGAGTTATGAGTCTGAATATACCTTGAACAACATCAGAATTCCACGTGGGGAAAACAAACGATCAGATGCCTTTTTTTTTTTTTTTTTGGTGGCAAAACAAAAAACTGAGACCAAGATAAATCATTTCGAAACATTTTCTACCATCAATGTGACCTGTAACTAGGACAACTCAATTGAAGAAAAAAAAAAACAACTTTAGGCTTTTGCGAGAAAGCCAAGAAAGCCTCCTAGAACAACTGAACTTTATTTGCGGCTCATCACAGAACTTTAAATGGTGTCAGTTGTGTGCTGACTGCCATTTGCGTTTGAATGTCGTTGGTTCTTACTGAACACCTCCGATCATCAAAGGGTGTGCACACTTGTGCAACCACAATTTCACAGCTGTTTATCTTTACTTTAGACTTCATTTGATTTCATTTGAGGTGTCCAGGTTAGAGGCCACATGAAAGGATTCATCTGCGTCTTTTTTTTTTTTTTAATTAAATATAACGCAAAATGATTTGAGCAGGGGTGTGTAGACTTTTTATATGCACTGCAAGTTCAACAATGAAATCGTCACTGCTCTCGGACATCGACCGCAATGTCAAGTCATTCCCTCCGAAGTAGAAATAAGCCCACACTTCGGACTAAGACGGCCTCACCCTCGTCATATGTTGACAAGCGTGATGCAAACGGCGACGGAGCAGAGGCAAGGACGGGGGATACAAAGGGCTGTCACGGGATCGGGGGGGGGGCTGCGGAGGAGAGGACACGTTTGAGGCTGCGAAGGATAAGTGAGGAGGAAAGCGAGAGGACAGCGCGGCTCCGATTGAGGGCTGCTCGCGAGCCAGATCTGACGGGGTGACACTCGCTCAGGACGCAGGCTGTGGAATACACCGGGGACAACGAGACGAGCTGAAACAAATGGAACAGATGAATCCGGGGAATGGCCACGACAAAGGGGGGATTTTTGTCCCCATTCTCCCCGGATCAATATCCCGTGTCACCCCGAGTTTGAAAGGCGAGACCGTCGTCCCCGAGCCGGCAGATCAGCGTTTGCTTAACGAGGCGCGCCATTGATCTGATCTGACACGGCCCTGCTTTCATTTGAGATCGATGACGCGCCAAAGACGGGGGATGAGAGAGAAGAGGGGATCATGTCGTCTTTGGGGGGACCCGGGGGCAGTTTGGGGGGGAGGTTAAGGACGACCTAAGGCCGTCTTTTCTCGACCTTAAGCACGGCGCAGACAAGACTGTACTTTTGACAGATCTCACGGAAACTTTCCCGTATGCACACACACACGCACACACAAATTATTTTTTTTTTAATCATGCATTGATAACCTGAACAAGTGTGAGTTGTTCTATCATCCAAAAACAGCATTGTGGACTACCTTGACCATGTTTCTTTGCGCCGCTGAGCCAAGAAGAGAAATTGATAATAAAATAACGGGCAACTTTTCTTGTCACTGCTGTTATGCACAAAAACACAAATTCTACATTGTGCCCCCTGCCCCAAATCTGATTTTTTTCTTTTTTTTAACAATACCATGAATTTTATACAGTGTCGTGGGATTTTTTTATATCACCTACTTCCCCACATTATCTCGATAAAATCATGCATTTGGATATCAATACATCCCTAATACATTTTTGGGTGAACTGGAACAGATTGCAAAATAGTTGCTGAATTTCCTATTAGGACACCTATGAGTATAATAAATTCAAAACTTCAACCAATGTTAACCATGTCATGAGGTGATTTTGTTCCCCGTCGTGTTTTCATCAGACAGCGCAACCACTTCAAAATGTGTGGCAGCTTTTGGGTCAAGGCTAGATTCTTATTATTTTTTGACAGATTTTCATAAATCCAGGAAAGGCCCAGCAGGTCCCTGCTAGCTGCAACAGCGAAACCACATGACAGCAATAGATTTTTGTTGGAATCTAATCAATTTCTTGATTAAAAAAAAACAAACAACCAAACAAACAGCATGTCTCCTTTTGCCGATCTTTCCCGGCTATGTTTCATGCTAACTACACAGCATGCAAATGACATTTGATGACCTGCGCTGAAACGCGGTCCAGTGTGAAATGTTGGAGTACCTCCGGTGTGCAGTCGGGTGCGCCGGAGCCTGCGTTGAAGTGGTTCTGGGCCAGAAAGAAGGGCGAGTTGGCCATGTCCAGGATGGGGTAGTTGACCAGCACCACTTTGCTGAAGTTAAACTTGTAAGTGAAGCGCTTCCCTTTGGTTTTGTGCAAAATGCGCTTGTTGTAGTAATACCTGCAACACAGCAGAGGTAATCGAATGAGGCGGATGAAGGAGGGGAAGGCTTAACAACGCCGGCGTCAAGGTTTGGTGGATTTTTACGGAAATGAATCAGTAAACTGTGCTGCGGGGTGGGCGCTCGGCTCATTTCCCACTTCTTTTAAGACGTCTCCTCCCTCCTCTAATCCATTTGTGTCCGGATGCCTTCGTTCAATACCGCATGAGCCTTATTTAGTTTGATTCCGCCATTAGCTGGCGAGATGGCAACATGAAAAATTCCACTTCACATCAGAGACTCGCAATGTATCATTTGTATCGTGAGTATCCAGCATGGCTGACTTCCTGTTCATGTTGGGGCAAGGGTCTTTTTGTCACGTTGCGTGTGATGGTGGTAGTGTATTGATAAACACAGAAAAAACGAAATCCTAAACAAAGTCCTAACAACAAAACAAATCCAAAGTATCAAACAAAACCGTGACTGAAGCTCAAAAAACTATAACAGATCCATGACAGAAACAAACATGACAAGCAAACAAAACAAACATGCATGCATGCATGCATGCAAGCAAACAAACAAACAATGACCCGACCATGAGTGGTCGGGTGGGAGTCCTTTTATACAGCTAATTACATAACGACCAACAGGTGTGCAGCTGCAGGGAGAGCCCTACAGTGCCACCTGTTGGTCACAAACCGAAACATGACATCATTGAGCTTTTTATTTATTTATTTGTTTTCCGGTGAATCCTGTCACGATAGATAAAACGATGACTCCCACGATGCCTCGCTCTGCTCAAGCTGTAAATACCAGTTTCCCTTTCATACACCTGCCTTAATGTATGCGTATTTGTTGACTTTCTTAAGTAAGCACGATGGTGTTTGAAATCAGGTATCATCTTCAAAATAAGAGCTTCACCTCTAAGTAGAAGTGAACACGTTCTGCATAGTAAAAGTAACTCGTCTAATTGCTAGTCAGGAAAAAGTCACACGTTAGATTTGTCGTTATGTAAAAATGGGCACATTTTTGGAGCAATGGGTAACTGACACGACTGAAAATGAACACCGACTAGTGACATCATGTCACTCAGAGAGTATGGAAACAAAGTGTGTGTGTGTGTGTGTGTGTGTGTGTGTGTGTGTGTGTGTGTGTGTGTGTGTGTGTGTGTGTGTGTGTGTGTACGTGTGTGCCCAAATTGGGGATTTCCATGGTAACGACCCCAGTGGGCATGTCAGCTTCCTGTGCCACCACTGAGGCGTGTGCTCATGCCACCTGGCTCAGGTGGAAGAATGGAACACTCGGGCGGGGGTGAGGGGGGAGGTGTGAAAAACCAAAAACCACAAATTTCTTTGTTCATTTTAGCGGAATGCGGGCCGTCCTTTGTTTGAAAGTACCCATAAAGTCAGCTGAATGTTTCAACGCCTCATTATGCCCGACATCAACCCACTTCGAGCAGCGCGTATGTATCAGCGCCCCAAACACGCCGTCTTGGGTCTTGCTTGGCGTGGCCAATGGCGCAGTGGCCCTTAATTGAGCAATTAAGTGAGGCTAATCAAGAAGGCTAATTGTGGCCCCAGCCAATTCATAACAATTAGACTCCCGCGACAACCTCCATTAAGAAGAAACCAAGGAAAAGCACGAGGAAGGAAAGGGGAGGGGGAGCGCACAAGTCATTTGTGATAACCACGCATTGCTCGAGACGTGTTTAAATGAAACAAGTTTGAAAAGTCCCAGAAACTTTACGGCGAAATCCTTATTGACTTTGTTTGCTGACTAGCTCCTCTGTCAACTTTGTATTAAGATGGCCGCCGATAAAAAGCTGCAATGGAGGAATATTGATGTTCCCCGGGCAGAGGTTACAAACTTCAACACGTCTTTTCTAAACATAAAGTCGATTTCAGACTCAAAGCGAGAATATTCGGCATTTGAAGGGTCTGTGAACGTCCCAGAAGCACGAAGCACGCGCAAGAGATAAAAATTTGCTAAATCGTACGACCATCCAGTTTTACCCATCTCGTGCGCTTCATCCAAAATGAATGAACCGAACTTGTTCGAAGCATACTTTTGAAGCATTTTCTAAATGTATTTACCCCAACATATCGTAGTCGGTGCTTGCGTCTAAAAATTGCTAGTCATGACTTCCAGTCTCCATGTCTTCCAACCATTGAGCGGCCCGGTGCTTGTTTGCGGACCCGGCATGAGGCAGTTGTGACCGCGGCGCATCTCATCCGCTACCTTAGTGCTCTGCTCAGTTTGTCGTAGTTCATGTGCGGTTTGCACTTCCTGATCCCCCACAGTCGGGCCACCTCGTCGGGGTCCTTGATGACGAACTCGCCGTAGTCGCCCTGCCACGCGATCACCCCCTGGTACTCCTCCTTCTGCAGCAGCTCCAGGATGAAGTGCCACAGCTGGATCTGCCGCGATCCCGGGCTCGACTCCGGCTTGTAGGCCCAGTCCGGGAAAGCGAACCCTGCGCAGAGGAGGGAGAAGCGGGTTGGGGGAAGCGGAGGATTTGAGAGAGGCCTGTCATTAATTCCGTCCATGGCCGCCGGGGACGAAGAGGTCGCCGTCTGGATGAGCGATGAAGGTGAGGGATGAGGTGTTTAATAGAACAGCGCGTGCCCTGAGCTACGTTCGGGCCCTCTCGGCTGCACAGATTGCTCAGGTGCGTGATGACAACTCTCTGGGAAAGAGTTGATTGATGCTGCGGTGCGCGCACACGCACACAAGAGCCTTAAAAAGTACCTGTTTGCACATCACACACACACACGGAGTCAAGTGTTGGTACTCGCCGCGCAATCAAAGTCAACACAAAGCGTGACCAGGGGGCAGACCTCCACCCAGGCTATGCAATGGATCAACACCCTGCCCAGACCCGGGAAGCAAATACAGTAGTTGGAATGAAATATTGTATTTTTAACACGGAGTAACTGGTGTCACCTCATTCATGTCATTGTTCTTTAAATGCCAAACTACCGCATTGGCCCGAATATAAGACGGCCCTGATTATAAGACGACGCCCTCTTTTTCAAGACTCAAGTTTGAAAAAAGACTTTTTGAACACCAAATGAATTTTTATACAGAAAATAATTACAGTACATCTGAAACAAATGATTATAACAATATATTTGAGAGAAAAAGCATGTTATTTTTCGTCATTCAAATCTTAACATCTGAACATTTAAATATGTAAACTAAAGTGCAATCACATTCGTAAATGAATGGCTTCTGATTTTTGAAATGTAAATGACATCATAACTTCTCCTCAGCTGCCGGTTAACCTGGCCGATCTTCGACCCACTTTTCTCCAGATTGTTTCTCTATTTTCTGTTATCTCTTCTGTTGTTTTCTTCTCTTTTCTTTCTTACCGCTATTTTTTATTTTTCTTCTTCGTGCTACCGCTATTTTTATTCTTCGTGACTTTGGCCTGGGGAGTCAAGTTCAGCATTCGTTTCAATGATATCTGGCGCCATCTAGCGTCGTGAATGGGTATAATATCTAGACCCCGAATATAAGACGACCCCCACTTTTTCAGTCTTATTTCAATGCAAAAAAACCCGTCTTATATTCGGGCCAATACGGTAGTTGACAGTGACTCAGTAGCACATTTAGCTCCTAGTTTGACAACAGCCCGACTGAACTGAAAGACGTGAGATGCTAAAAACTTTGTTCCCTTCTGACAAATATTTTTTTTTTTTGGTGGGGGGGCTGGAACAGATAAATTGTTTTTATCTTAATTTCAAGGGAGAAAGATAAGCGTTAGGAGTTACCAACCTGGCGTCCAAAGTGCGGGCACCGGGGGCAGCAGCAGATCACTGACGCAGTTACAGTCCATGCCTCTGCAACACCTGACAAACAAACATGAAAAATATTCATCAGTCCGCAAGCTGTGAACTACGAGCACATTTTATTTGGAGGTCGCCGAGGGGATTGAACACAAACTTGCTGCGCGATGCCGATTCTGAAACATGGTTGGTATTGATGCGTAACGCGGCAAGGTTATGTTTCGTATAGCGATGGAGCGATTGATGGATGTGATCCCATGCATCCACCTGAGGCCGAGCGTGATGCAATGCGTTGGACATTCACGCCCGCATCCATAAGCAGCAGCGGTTCACTTGAAGAGCACGTTAAAGTTTCATTCGATTTAATCAGGCGGAATTTTCCAGTATTCTTGCGTCAAGTAGGGCCGCGTTATACGCAACAAGTGTGAAGCGTTTTGTTCATTCGACACGTACTACATTCACTGCATCATGTTCGATACGCCGAGAGGAATTTTTGGAGTGCAGGAGAAGTTTTTTTGTTGTACCCACAAAAACGTGGCAGGGAAGAAATGCAAAGTAGCTTGAAACACTGGAAGCAAATGCATCTCAAAATTGCAAGCAAATACTTTAACGTCATCATTTACGACTCAACTATGTCTACATAGTGACAAAAAAATGGTTTTATTAAAGTGTTAACTAAAGCCCGCATCAAATTTAGTTGGAAATCCAGGATCAGGCGGATCAGAAAATGGATGGATGGATGTATTCAAAGTTTTAATTTGTAATCCTTTCAAGCAAATAGGGTTAATTGTTAATACGTTTTCAAGCAGCCCTAAAATGTGCGTTTTCTTCTGAGAACAGGGCATTTGTTTTTGTTGCGAGAAAATTCCGGTGGGAGCAGACTCAAAAGTAACTGTTGCATTCCAATTAGTTGCATTGCATCTTTAAAAAAAAAATTATTTTAACGTGCCAGCAGGTCTAAACGAGGTAGGGGGTGTTAGCGGCATGTAAATCAGTGAAATGCTAATCATAACGCTAATGATGTTGCGAGCAGGAGAGGATTTGGGCTGGCGGTGCGGTCGACACACGGCGACTTTTCATCGGCGTTGCTTTACAAAAGATCACATGAAGACGAAAAAATGCCCTCGCCCGTTCGCCGCCGCTTCGACTGCTGTGCTGCTGCTTCTTCTTTGCCATCTTTAATGCTGCCCTCTGCATTGCTGCCTTTACGCTTCTTCTTCTGCCTCTATTTAATTATGCTCTGTGAATTTGGGATTTTTCCCTCCAGCATTGAAATAGAACGTGAATTATTAAGGTGTGTTTGTATAAATTATTATTGCTAACTCCAGGCACTCTCTCTCTCTCTCTCTCTCTCTCTCTCTCTCTCTCTCTCTCTCTCTCTCTCTCTCTCTCTCTCTCTTTCGAGAAAGACTCCCTCTCTCGACCGGCTCGTGGCCTTTGGATGGTAGCAACACTCTCGCTCACTTTATGTGTGGTGTTTTCACGCTGCTCCTTTCTGTCTTAACATCTCTGGTCTTCTTGGTTCTTTTCAACCATTCATCTTATCATTCTTTATTTTTGCTCCCTCTCCCATTGCACTGTCACACAATGAGTCAACCTGTACACAATGCATGTTCAAAGTCCAGGCTGGGGGCTATTGGCAGGTCTAAAGCTGTTTTTTTAGAGGCTCGTGGCATATTCTAAAAAAAAAAAAAAAAAAAAAACCAAAACTCCAAGATGGTTCTCAAAAATGGGAACCATCATCACCATCCATCAATTTCAGAGCACATGTAGACAAAACAAAAATCAATGGATAATTTAGAGTCTTCCACAAACATATAATACATTTGTGGTAAGCTGGGTTACCCTGAGAAAACACAGGTAGGTCAAGCAAACTTCACACAGGAAGAAGGCTTGAACCAATTTGAACCCAGAATCTCTAAACTGTGCGGCAGACCTGCCTGATACTTGTTCATGGTGATCTAACTATATTTTTGTGACAAAATATTAGTTCAGTGACTCAAACAAAAGCACACTAAGAACTTTGTGACTTCTTAAGGTCATGTTTATATTTGTAAAGACAAAAATGAATGCCCTGACACTTTGTCACTTTTTGTAATTAAGTCAAAAATGTGATCAAATTTAGATATTTAAATTTGAAATGGAGAACTGATTATTTTTTGTGTAGCATGGAGTCCACCACCATCACAGCAATAATGCGTGATCTGGGTTTTCATGTTTGTCAGATAGATACATACAGTAGCTAGCTACCTGGATATCTAGCTAGCGGGCTAGCTAGCTAGCTGCTAGAGAAAGAAATGCAGTAGCTCTCTAGCCACCAAGCGATAGACGTAGATAGACAGATAGACGACAGATAGAAGGATCAAGTGTCATTTACAGACAGACGACAGATAGAAGGATCAAGTGTCATTTTATAATTGGTATCAATACTTCAGTGATAATTCAGGTGTTCATTCGGGAAAATTGGATGTAACTAATTCTGAGCAAAGCGCCCCCACATTTTTTCCAACAACAACAACAAGTCTGTACAGCCCTGCAGATATTTTTCTTCTTTTTCACATGGCGGCTACAAAACTGCAAAACTGTAGCCTTTTGCTCAGCTCCGTGAAAAGTATGGCCCTCAGTTCAAATACTGCTCTCCAACCCGAGCGTGGAACCGAAAGCCGCCGCCTCGAACGAAAATACGATATTCTGTGCGTTTGAGGTCGGAGCTTATACGTTTGACCCTCCCCGCGTGCCGCGGGTCATCACTGCGGCATCACGCTTTTCGTGTTTCCCTCTGCGTGTCGCCATCCAGGTGAATCCTTCTTTTTCCTTGTCGCCGCCACCTATTTTGTGTCTCATGAGCCTCTCTCTGAGCCACGCCCCCCCCAATTCTCACACCACCCCCTCGGTGTGCTTCACCTCGGTGCAGTAATTTTCTGTTTGATTTCGGAGGTAATGCATTTTTTACAAATCAAAGAGGAAGCAAGACGACCCCCCCCCTCCTCCATCGCTCACCTCCTCCTCCGCCCACCCCATCCCCTCAGCTCCCCGCCCAGGGCCAGAGAGGAGATAAAGGCGCCTCCATCATTTCCTTGTTAGTTTTGATTTGGGCAGCGCAGGGCTTTCAAGTTCCCCCCATCACCCCCAGAAACATTATAACTAGCAGCCCAGGGAATAGTGCTGCTCGTGCATGCTGGCGCCTACATGCACTCGTTGTTACACACACAGCGTTTGGAAGTTATACAGCGCGGTACAAACACGCAGGTATTCAGGTAGCCGACACAAATAAAGACGTAGAGCCCATCGATAGTGACTGAATCAATACGGCCAGAGAGCACTTTGTTTTGCTAAAAAAAGACATTGGCGGGCTGATGAAAGAGCACAAAAGCAACAGCGCAGAGGACGCCATACTCCAAACAAAAGGGGCCTTTCCCAACCCCCTGATGATGGATCACACGTTGACAATGCACTTAACTGGGGAACCTGCAGCACCGTGGGCCAAAAGCAGCACACGAGAGTACAACCACAGACAGTTATGCGGCAAATAAGGTCGCTGCATTTGACACTGTTGGAAACTTTTGAATTGACATCATTTTTTTCGACTCGAGCAGAAATGTACAAGGCTTCACTTCCGGGTTGAGTGAACGCTGGCGCGTCTGGCTGCCGCGTCTGGCTGCCGCTGCTCACCCGCTATTATTCTTTTTTAGCGTTTGTTTTACGGGTTTTTTTACGGTTTACTCTCGTCATGGGAGAAACCCTCAGCTCCTGTCGCAATTCGTTGTGGTTTTGGACCGTCGGTCGTCGCACGGTTGTCCTCGGTCGTGCTGTCGCGGCGTCCTGCCTGTTCGGCTGTCGGACGGTGCTCCGTGCCTTCTCCGCCCCACTGCGCCCCGTGGGGGG